TCTGGACGGGTTCTTCTCTAATGAAACGTTTCATTCATGACTTTATTTTGTTTAGTTTTGTTTTACTTGACATTTTGATTTTGTATGCATCATTTTTATTATTATTACTGGATGACTTGTTTTGTATTCATATTTCAATTCATGATTGAAATAAACAGAACAAAAAACAGCAGCAGTATTAATATTGTATATCGATATTGGCAGATATTTTCATATCAGTGCTTCCCTAATTAAAATCAAAGTTTGTTTCTATAACAAAGATATTTTATGAGTTTAGGCCCTCCCCCTACACCACGAAAAGAATTGGGAGACCCTCCACCCCCGTCCAGGGCATGAATGCACAGATCACAGGGGGAGCAGTAGGATTCAGCCTTTGGCATTTCTTTTGATAAACATCTCCACAGGTGCAGATTTTCACTTTCTTCAACTCTCCACGTGTTTTTCCTGGAAGTGCCAGCTAACACCCGTTAAAATCTTACAGAAAAAGGCCTCTTGAATCCAGAAAAACAGGCCCGTCCGTGATGACTAACAAACCACATGCTGCTATCTGATCCCCTGTGGTGCACGGGGAGAAAGCCAAGAGGACAGACAAGCTGATAGCTGCTAACAGCTATTTGAAAGCAGATTACTAATTTGGTGGAAGCATATGATTCACAGTCCAGACAATAAGACTCTCATCTCAGAGGACAGGTTAGTTTCTGGGACACGAGGCGCTGCTAAATAACGGGGTGGAGAAACGCACACTTCACAGCGTGCAGCAGGACCAGCAGCACCTATGGGACAGCAGGTGAAGCTGGTGTCCCCTCACAGCCACCGGTTAGCATGCAGAGGTGGGCGGGTTCATGCGTGGGAGCGCCGAACGCAGGAATAGCACCGTGCCCACTGCGTGTGCTGCAGATGTCCCCGCTGACTCACGGGGCTCGCTCGCTGGTCGTCGAGCGCKCACTTCTCTCTCCCCTCAGCTCCTTTTCTTCTTCTCTTTCGTGCTGTCCCTCCTAAGACACGCCGTCTCCTAGCAACAAAAGCTTTTAGCGCTAAAAATAAACGGAGGAGTCACGACAAAAAAAGACAAAACACACGTCCGTCGCAGGGAGAAAAGTTGCCAAGAGTTCAGCGTTGCACATCCAGATGTTTGAGTGACAGATGTCTCACTGCAGTTGTTTTCAGACACTGATGGTGCTCTGCTCCAGAAGTAATCCAGGATTTAACAATCTCCAGAAGTAATCCAGGATTTAACAATCTCCAGAAGTAATCCAGGATTTAACAATCTCCAGAARTAATCCAGGATTTAACAATCACTTTGATTTATTTTTACTGATTCAGAAGAGGCTAACGCAGGGGATGCTACAGGTGTGCATCTGTCAAATACTGGCTTTTAACTCACAATATCTAGTTCTTTATGCTTTATAAAGTCCAGGGTTCCCACAGTTTAAAGCAACTTAAATTTAAGACTTTTTAATGCCAAGTAAAGTTAAATTTAAGACCAATTTCATAATAAACACAAATGACAAAAAAAAACTGTTAGAAACTCATGAATCAAAGTATTTTTGGTTGAAGTATAGACCAATTGTTTTTATCCATATCTAACTACAGCAGAAACATTATTCGCGGTCAGYTTTAAACTTAATTWAATTTCTGGAAATCCTCTAACAAACTAAAATCTGGAGTTTTAGGACCCACAGTGGGGTCTGAACCCCTATTTGCTGTAGATGAAACCTCAAAGTGACGTTGATGTTTTGTAAGAAAAGTGATGCATTTTTGGAAAGACAACATTAAAATATTACAAAACAAACGTCACGTTGCTCAGATGAACAGCTGAGATATTTGCATGTAAAATAACAGGAAGTGATGTCAAAGGGGAATGTCTGCATATGAATATTAAAAAAATAATTATTTACCAATTATTTTAGTATTTGAGATAAATTACAATCATCCTATTTACAAAGTGTTCACATTTTTAAGACC